TCCGTCCCGGTTCTACGCTAACATGTCTCCTTGTTCTGTCAGCTGGAGGTCGGTGGACATTTTCTCACAGCCCATAACGGAGGAGGAGAACGAACGAGAGGTGGGAACTTCTCTGCTTTATTGCTCTCATTTATGCTTGGAAACACCTGAAGGTGGTGGTATGCAAACAGCGACACCTGCTGGTCTTATGTATAACTGTGTCCTGGATAAGATGGATGCTTTTAATTACATTTTAATCATGTTAAAATGTTCCTTATTAATCTCAGAACATTAGCAGAAAAGTTTTGAAGATTTAATCAGATATCTGTCTTTTACCCTTTGGTTTTATTGAAATTGCAAAGATGTAGTTCCACACAACTCATTCGATATCATACTACATTTTTCTAAAACGGAACAATTTTAGAACGGTTCTAAAATACGTGAGAATGATCGGCGCTTATTGATCCACCGTTACGCCAAAACCCCTTGTTTGTGTCCTTATATCTACTCTTGACTTTAGGCGTGATGAAAGATCGCTCCGTATCCGTGAACTGGTGGATGATTGATGTGTTTTCCACATATTCAACCAATCTTCATCTGAAACTGTCATGATTCCCACTTTTCTTTTATTTACTTTAATGTTTGATGTTGATCACATTTTATGCAGAAATGGGTCTTTACTTCTTTGCTGCTGATTATTTTTATAAATGCTTCAGAAAAAATGGAGATGTGATTTTAAAGGAAACAAATCATCTCATGAGACGAAAGGATAAATTTTGTTTTATTGAAAGCAGAAGCGGGTTTTTAATGTGTGGATGAAGTTTTTTACTTATTGGCGTCTTTTCTGAACCATAACTCTGAGCCGCTGCTTCTGGACCTTTATGGAGTTCCACATCTTTCTTCTCTAGCTTTAGATTAGTTAACAGAGCATGTTAATGGAGAGGAAGAAATATGGTGGAGCGGTTTTAAATTCAAAGGCGGAAGCGAGGATTTCGCTCCCGACTTTATTTAAATTCATGTTTGACTGAAAGCTTAGGCCAATGCCTCTGTGGCTATAATCTGTTATAGTTTCAACTTTACCGCAGTATCACAGACGAAGATTGCATGTTGTGTGATAAAGAGTGGGATAAAATATCATAAAATCATTAATGCACTAACTATACTGAACAGAGTGGGTTTACATAAAGAGATCGTTGTGGTTTGAGCATACATGCGTTATACGCTATCGTCTCATTGCTATGGGATGAGAAGTGCGATTTTTTTTTTATTTATTTTTTTTATGTCGTCTAGTAAAATAAATGAATAATAAATAGGAAACATTGGGCAACATTAATCACATCCTCTTAAGGACCAGATTAGATTTTAATCTGTTGCCTCTAACAATGTTTCGGTGGAAAAGCCGATGTTCTGCTTTGAACTTTTCATGTTTCTGACCTGAACTCGCTGTAAACCGTGTCGATGGTCGATGATGCGCGGCGTGGCCAGAATAGTTTGCTTCCTTCGGTTAGAAAAGCTGAGAGCTTCAGAGGCGTCTGGTCTGACCCCTGCAGGTTGAGGACCTTTCTGAGGCGGCCTTCATCGCGCTCCATCAGCCCTACGAGGACCAGGAGCGTTCCCGCTGGACCTGGATGGCTCTGGCTCCCGCCAAGAGGCGCGGCAGCAGGTGAGTCCTGGCTCCTCCTCCTTTCGCCAGCTTTCCGATCCGTGTGACGCTAACCTGCGTGTCCATCAGGTCATACAAGTCTGTGGATGGGCGGACCACGCCTCTGCTGTACGGGACCAACCCTCCCACCCCTCAGCCCGCGTCGCCAGACCCCGGTCACTGCCCATCGCTGCACGACTACAGCCACGTGCCGTCGCCCATGAGCCCCCCCAGCCCCGACGCGTCCTCCAACCCACAGACGCCGTGTTCCCGGGACTCCCACCGGCTGCTGTCCAACGAGGACACGCGGTGCTCCACGCCAGACTTCACCTTTGAGGAACGGGTGCGTAGAGAAGCCGCCGCGTCCTTCTGAGTCATCATCAGACACCAATCGCTGACTCTTCAACTTGTTTTCTGTGATGCTTTCAGACCGTGGCGCCTTGGGAACGCCGCAGCTTCCCGCTGCCCGAAGACCCGGCTCCAGAACCCGAACCCGACCAAAACATCCGGCCCAGGGTTCGCAGCATCTCAGGCTGCAGGGCGTCCGCCTACGGGCGCCTGGACTCGGACGACGCAGAGCTGCCTTGCGACGACGACGGCCCCAAACTCAGGGCCTCCTCCCACCGATGAACGGCGTCGCCCCCTCCCCTCCCCCGCAGCTCCTCTGGCATTAACACGCAGAACCTCAAAGCTGAAACGACGTTCAATGGGTTCCTGTTGTTTGATATTCAAACATCAGACTAATTCTTTCACAGTTTTTAGTGAACATTACGGAGATAGAAGCCTTTCCCTTCACCTGGTTTTTGTCACGGGAAAAAAAAGATAAATGTAAAAAAAAAAAGTATAAAACATTACAAAAAGTGAGTTCTGTAGTAGGCTAAACAATGTACATGGGGGCTTAGTGGTGTTCATATGTCGCGTGTTCACTTGTAGCGCACTATGTAGCGACTCCTCAACATACGGCCAAAGGGTGTTTTCTATTGACTAGTTTGCTTGTAAATCCCCATGTACATTTTTAGTGGAGTGACAAATATCAAAACAAGAAAAAAATCCCCCCCCCCCATGTCCTTCCTTCTGCTCCTCATCCACAGAAACAGGTACATAAAGGTGTGGTTCCCTCCTCCCCCACTAGAGGTCGCCTGAAATCACCAGAGCACTTCTCGTACTGCCAAGTCTAGTTCTGCTGGTTTGCTTTCCTTCTGTTTTCATTCCTCACATGTTTTTTTTTTTGTTGTTGTCGATCTGGTTCTCTGATCACGCGTTGATTTGTTTTTTATCTGTAGAGTCGGACATTCTTCCAGACCCCCCCCCCCCCCCCCCCCCTCCCCTCCCCGTTTTAAAACAAGGGTGACCCACAGACCCGGAGCTGCTTAATCTTATTTTATGTTTCAGCATCGCAGCTGCATGCTATAAACAAATAAAAATATAACAAAAAGCTTAAATATCACGACAATAATCTAAGAAATGAATCAATTCTTTGCAAACAGTCATAATTTAATCTGAATTTAATGACCTCCCTGCTTCTTTTCTTTCTTTGATAGTTTTAGTTTCAGCTTAACAGGAAATTAAACATTTGTAGAGCAGCAGCTGTCAGAAGTCACCCGAGCTCAGGTTCCTCCGGAAAGCAATGAAACTCTTCTTCTCTCAGAGCGATCAGTTGATCAGTTCAGACTTTTCAGTTTCACCTCCATGTAATTATCCTCTCACCGCGTCCCTCCTTCACTTTACGTGACTAATTGCTATGCAAAAAAAAAAAGAAAAAAAAGTCTATGGTTGTTTTCATTTCCTGCCTCCTCTGTTTGCCACCGCCCTTCAATGTTTTTCTTTTTTTTTTTTAGTTAAGATGTAAATGTACCTGTTTAATTGTTGCAGCAGTTATAACCTAATCAAAAAGCAGAATTGTTTTCTTTCTTGTAAATAGTACCATTAAAACATTTATGTTTAACTTGGCACCGCGGCTCGTCGTTTCATCCATTCAGACTCCTGGGTGACTTTGCAGCGTTTATTTCAAATACACATTTACAGCAACAAGAATCATCATAAACCAGTTATTGATCAACGCACGATAACAATAACGATCACATTTCCACATCTGTACAGCGGCCAAAGTTACCAAAAAACTAAATGAAGGTGAGTGCTGTTACTGTAGGGACGTCTGCAGCACCGCGGGGATCAGCTTCGACCCCCCCCACACCCTGCTGATCCTGACGGTGCTCTGATGCTGCTGCTACAGTCGGCATGCAGGTGACGTAGCAGACCGGGTAACCAGGGAGACCGCTTTGTGAAAGGGAGGATGTTCTTACATGACGCATGCAAGAATCAGGTCTGATCGGAGCCAAGATGGCCGACGAGGGACTGGGTGTGAAGGATCTGCTGGAGGTTTGAAGGTCTGAGCTTCGCGGTCACGCCACGATTTCTGTGGCTCTTCGAGGCGACTCCGCCCAGATTTTTCCGTACCTGTGGAATATTTTGGCACCTTTTTTTAAATTGTGTGAAAAATGGAGGATTATGCTTTAATAAAATGATATTTAAGCCTTTTTGTGGAGGGATGAAAAGCAGAATGTTTCAGTAACTTCATCCCAACTGTCGTTAATGTGGTTCGTTTCGTGAAAAGTGAAGATTTTCATTTAAATCTGAGTAAAGTTGATCTTTTAGCAGGTCGACACATAAATGCATAAAAGCCTCTTTTTACAGCTGTTTAGTTATTAAACCTGTAGAAACCATGTGCACTTGAAAAATTATCTATAAATAAGTAAAAATGTCTTAAATTAAGTCTATTTACCCTTAAATTAAGTAGGTAAATGAAAGTTTGCCAATGGAATGAGTATTTTTACTCTTAAAATAAGATAATTGGGTATTATGCAAATTGTATTTTCTTATTTTAGATGGAAATTGTCTTATTTTATTGGCAAAATGTTTTTTAGCTCCTCAATCCAAGAACAAATGCGCTTATTTTAAGAAAAAATGAGTGAAATCCAGTGTATGCGTTTCGTTTTAAAGATTTGATCCATTTGGACGCATGAAACCAGCAGTTTAAATGTGAAGTATTTTCACTGAAGATAAAGGTTCAGTTTTTATGGGTCTGTGACGGCGTGCAGCAGCGTGGTTAAAGTGCCTCCAGAGGTGAACTTGTTGCTTTTTTTGTCTCCTTAAAGGATGCAGTGAACATAAACCCCTCCATCCTTTCAACAACTGCTTCATTTAACTATTTCATCCTTAGATTAACTGCCAGTGAAGCCTTTCTAGTTAGTGTTATTCTGATTGATCGCTTTAAATACTGCAGACAGGTGATAAATTGCCCCCCCCCCTCCCCCATAAACCAAGCTTTAGCACATGTACAATAGGAGCAGTACAAAAGAAAAACACTGACAGTAGCAGGCACAATACAAATGTCTGTTCATATCAAATACATGTCATAAATGCAGAGAATACCATAGAAAACTCTCCGACCGCCGGTGCTGAAGGTGGCGTGTTGAAAATAGGAGCAGCGAGGAGAACGGGCCTAAATCCTGATGGCGTCCGCCTCATTTAGATCCCATTTTAACTGACGGACGTTTCCCAACATTAAGCTTGAAGCAAACCAGCTAAAATACGCAGGCAGTTTGATTCCTTCGACTATATCTAAACATTTCTCATCAGGTTTCTTTTGTTTCGCCTCCTTCAGCTCCTCGGTGCTCCTATTTTCTCCATCAACCAGAGTCTCCTCCCTCCTCTGAGGAGCAGCACACGTCTGGACGCCAAGCAAAGAAAGCAGTGAGGGGTTTTTTTTCTGCAGAGACAAAGATGCTACTGTTCTTCTGACATTTCCTCCCAAACCTTCATGAGATTCTGTCACTGTTCCTTTAAATCAAACGGGGGTCAGAGAAACAAAACAAAGGTGAATCTGTCAGGATTTACAGTCTGAAAGGAAATCAGGCCATTTTTTATCAGGATGAGTTGAAATAATTCACTCAGATTCACTGGGAAATTTCTGCTCGACTGGGTGCATTAAATCCTAAATATTTACTACAAAAGGTTTAAATATTTGCAAGAAGACCACAGAGAGAAACCGCTGCACTCTGGCCTACCTGTTCTCTAAAAGTTACGCCTCAGTTAAGTTAAAAGGTTAGTGGAGGAAAAACAGTGATGGGTAGCTTAAAAAAAAGTCCAGTGAAAGTAAGGACTCCTCTACGTGGTGCAGGAAGGGCGGGGCGCGTTCACAAGCCTTGCTTGGCCAGAGAGGCGGACACCTGGTCGGCCAGCGTGGAGAGCTGCGGGGAGTCGGTCATGTTGATGCTGCCGGAGGAGGACACGGTGCTGAGCTGCCGGGGCGAGTCTTCCAGAGAGATGATCTCAGCGCCGTGGTCGGTGCGAGCCTTGGCCGTCTCACGGAAGCTCAGCTTGTGGCTCTCAATCTGCAGAAAAATGTGGATATAAATCTCCTGCTGCGGGTTTAGAGCCTTAAACTCCAAACTTTGGCCCATTTTATTCTGATTTTAAATGATGGACACGCATCTGCTCAAAATGACATTCCTACTATGGAACATGGTGGTGGTAGCATCAGGCTTTGGAGTTAAATGCAGGATAAACCAGAAGAAAATAAGTAAACATTTCTTAAATTAAATGTATTTACCCTTAATTTAAGTAGTTAAATGAAAGTTTGCCAATGGAATGAGTATTTTTACTCTTAAAATACGATAATTGGGTATTATGCAAATTGTATTTTTTTTATTTTAGATTTAAATTATCTTGTTCCATTGGCAAAATGTCTCTTTTAGCTCCTCAATCCAAGAACAAATGCACTTATTTTAAGAAAAAAAATGACTAAAATCCTGTGTATGCGTTTCGTTTTAAAGATTTGATCCATTTGGACGCATGAAACCAGCAGTTTAAATGTGAAGTGTTTTCACTGAAGATAAAAGCTTCAGTTTTTATAGGTCTGTGACGGTGTGACGGCATAAACTCCAAACTTTGCCCCATTTTATTCTGATTTTAAATGATTGACACACATTTTCTCAAAATGGCATTCCTACTATGGAACATGGTGGTGGTAGCATCATGCTTTGGAGCTAAATGCAGGGTAAACCAGAAGGAAAACCTGTAGAAAAGGTGAAAATGTGGCAGGAGGTGATGGTAAACAAACAGCTGGAGGTTCAAATCAAAGCTAGTCTTTAAACCAAGCATCACTGTAGGGCCGCTGAGCTGCAGCTGATTTTAATCGATAGTTGATTAAAAGGATTTTGCTGAAATACAATCATCAAAATCAGCTGTGCTAAAGCAGAGAAACCTCTAAAACCTCCAGGACCCACTTTGGGGACGTTTGCTTTAAAACGAAGAATCTTTAGAAAGATTTTAAACCTAACTTCCTCAGATGATCTGCATCCAATACGGCTCAACTCACCTTATTTAGCACAGAATAATAAATAATAGATGGATATTCTAAAACATCTGCCAATGAAAGAGTAGAAAAAGAAGATTCCACTTAAGAAATGAAAACATTTTCCTTCTAAAAACTGTTGATTTTACAATAACATTCACCAAAATAATCCCATCAGAGGAATCAATATTAGTTGCAGTAAAATGATTCCCTTCCTGAACCAGAGAAGGCGGCAGTGAGTCTGGCTAAAGGGCGCCCTCTGCTGGCAGCATGTGGTAATGCTCTGAGGACAGATTATTAAACTGATAGCAATTTAATTTCTGTTATAAAGATCAAACAGCGCCTCCAATATATTACTTTTTAATTTAGGTTCATTTATAAAGATATTCATATTTATAATAAATAAAAATTAGTGTCTTAAAATGTGCAGATCTAAATATTTTTCTGCGTCGTCATTGAAGGTGAAAGAACCTTTGGAAGCATTTTGATCAAATAAAAGCAGAAAATAGATTCAACCTGTGGCGTCTGGCCAATAGAGGGCGCTAGGGCGCCGCCCCACCCACCCAATGACTCTGATTAAGACATAAAAATATATATATTTTTTCTAATAATTTAATTTTAAATTAACATTTAAAATATTTTGAAATATATTAATATGTGTTTCTTAGACGGGCAAGATAAATATTTAATCTTTAAGTAGATCGTTATTCAATTTTTCGACAGGTAGACATATTTCCCCCTGAAGGCACAAAAATGTTTGCCCATCGACTCTCGTTAAAAGTTGTCCATAGGCTGCAGCTGCTCTGAAATACAGACGGATAGGAGAGCTCGGGACGCAACTCTGGCATTAGAGAGAGAAAGAAATGGCAAAGAAAAATCCTTTTCTAGTACCTGGTTTATCTCCAAGGCTAAGCTAACTGCATGTAGCGAGGCTGATGCTTTATCCTGCTTTCCCTGCCTCCATTTTTAAACATCAGGATCTAATCCAGCATGGATAAAGGCAGCTAGGACTGATTTAAAGCACTTTTTAGAAAAGGCAAAGAACAATGACCCAGGCTCACTTGTTCAAAGGGAGTTTTCCTCTCCACTGTCGCTACAAGCATGCTTAGTGTGAGGGATTGCTGAAGAGTCAATGAGTCGATGCAATCAGCTGGTTATCCTTAGATAGAAAACTTTGAATCAATCTGACTGGATGATCTGGTGAACTGGAAAGTGACCTGAGATGACATGATGTGAATTGGAGCTATAGAAATAAACTGAATAGAATTGAATTAAATTGAATGAACAATCTGGGATTCACATGGAAAATAATGGTCTAATTTTTCTAGATGTTTGTTAATTTGCATAGTTGCTCTTAAATAAACACATTCTCAGAAAATAGTTTTTATTTATTAAAATATATAAAGCTGACTAAAGCTTCTCCATTATTAAACTGGTTCATTATTTTCTTTTAGTTTGTGACAATATTGGAACATGAAAACACAGATTAACTTTCATAAAGCGTCAGAAGGGCAACATTTATGTAAAAACATAAAAGTAAACCTGGACATGAAATGTTTTTTTTTTTTTTTATAAAGTGTTTTTATCATTTTTTGTTGTTGGCGTTCATATAAACATACTGGTGTGATAACTTAGTGCTGCTGGATTTAAACTGATCTTTTTTCTAATTGCAGGTAAATTTATTTTGCAACAATGTCCCCAAAATTAACCCCTTGGATCCCAAACAGATTTCTAAGCAGCTCGACTGGTTCTGGTTAAAATCCTGCAGCTTTGCAGATACTTACAGGAGTCCTCAATCTTTATGAGAGGGTTCGTCAGGATGGGTGTAGAGGGTGCTGAAGGGACAGTCTGAGGTGACTGAGGGGGGGTGACAACGGGGGAGGGGATGGACATGCTGTCTGAGACGCTCCCCTCTGCGTCCTTCCCCTTGTCCCTCTACACACGAGCCCCGGTGGGGAGGGGGGAGAATGACAACGCATGCAACGAAAACAAACAGGATGCTTTCAACAGGAATAAAACAAACAACAGAAAACTCAGCAAATAATCAAAATAATGAGAACTTTGTTATGAAATAATAAAAAAATGGAGGAAATGCATTAAAAGAAGCTCTGATGAAGGAGGAAGGAAGCAGTGATGAGAAACATGAAGGCCTTGAAGCGCTGCAGAAACATTATCGCTGATTCTTCTCACATTACAGCTTAAATTAAGCTCATTAACACCACAACTATGTTTATAACTCATTTTTATAAGATCTATTCAAGTTTATTTCTTAATCTAGAATGTATTTTAAGTAATCTAAACAGAAAGCTGAACTAAAAGGCACCATGGATTTATCTTTTTAAAACCAGAGCGTAATTTTTCTCCTGCAGAAAATGCATCATGTTTTTTCTCCCACACTGTTTACATTTAATCACTGCTGCACTTTATGGAATGGAAATGTTCATTTACTGGCTGAGAAGCTGCACTGAACGAAATTACTATAAAAGTTTAAAAGTCTAACAAGAAACCGAGCCTACGCTAAGTGTAGCGATCTATCTGCTGAGCTGAAAGGCTGGAAAGAGAAGCTTTAACCGCCGTCAGGATGAGACATCTTTACCTTCCGCTGTCCACCTCCGGGGACGTGACCGATGTTGTCCAGAGAGCCCACTTTGGACTGAACTTTGAACTCTAGCTTCTCGGTTTTGATCTCCACATTTCCTCCACCTTTAAAGAAAACCCCAAACAGGTCATTCAGGCCTGAGCTAAGAGTGAGGAAACAAACACAGCAAGGCTCTTCAGTCACCTGGCTTGTGATGAATGTTGTCTTTTGATCCACATTTTGACGTAACGTTGCTCAAATCAATCTTTTTGTGCACAATTTGAACCTGTGGAGGAAGCAGAGCAGGAAGCAGAAGTTAACAATAGGACGACGAAGCTGCGGCTCTTTGTTAGCCGGTTAGTTTGGTACCAAGAAGGTAGAACTTCATCAGCAGGACAGCTGAGATTAAAGCAGGAATTATGCTCAGAAAACAGCTTAAAGTTTATATATCATCATATTTTAGGGTTGGGAAACTGATGAGTCTTCAAATTAATTACTAAAATAAAAAAACTGTTTTTTTATTTTTTTTTCAAAACAGTTTTGGAGAACAGGAAGGGGAATAACAACCATGCAAACAACATCTGAGGTAACCATAGCAACCAGCATAATGGTTATCCAGCAAGGAAATCCTTTCCCTTTCAGGATTTAACTTTTCTTTCCGACTTGCTGTTTTCTGTTAGCATAAAAAAGTCAGCAGAAAGTTCATGATTAGCTTAAATCAATATTGCGTCTCTTGGTGATTCTAATTAATTAGCTTCAGCTTTATTTCCTTTTTAGTCCAAATAAAGGAGTTTGATTGCAGCAGTGTTCTGGTTGTTTAATACTCTGCTGTAGAGGTGCTAGTGCTAAATGCTAGTAGGTTCCCATTTAGCATTTTGGCTCATCTGTATTATTCTTCTCCCTTAACACATTATTTTTATTGTGATGATTTGTATAATATGTTATATTACATGATTTATAGACTTCATAATGACTATATAATGTGATGGGCCGATTTTTGTTATGCTAAGTTAAAGTTAATCTACTGATGCTATGAAAACAGCCAGTCTGTGTTATTTTAAAAGTCTCAAGTTCTCCTGAGAATGAGATCACTGTTGTTCGATGCTGCAGCGCACCGATTGTTTATATTCCGACCGGTCTAACTAGGGAGTACCAATATGGCGGCTGGTGGCTTCGCTTCAACCCTGTTCTACCAACCGAATCCTATTTTTACAGGTCAGAGTAAAAATGTTTGAAAAGGAACAGAAACACTTTTAAGTTAGTGCTGCTCAGGAAATGTTTCCTGGGGGGGCAGATGGGGCCACTAGAAATCCTGATGTTTCCACTGAAACTAAAAGCCGTTTTTCAGGGTTTGAATCTCCTCCTGTGATAAACCTGCCTGTAGAAATCAGAAAGACTTCATCTACTCAGATTTTGGTTTATTGTGTGATTTTTAATGGGATTAAATGCTAAACTGATGGTACTACAATTTACACCGGCCAGTGGCGTGGCCAGGGCATTGCACAGGGTGGCCGTGGCCCCTCCTGGTGGCCCCCCTGTTTTAACTCCCTTGAAATGATGCCAGTTTGTTTGGTTTCCAGCTCTTGTGGGGGTGCACATCACGGACAACCTCACCTGGACTGTAAACACTTCATCTCTAGTGAAGAGGGCACAGAAGCGCTTGTACTTTCTGCGGAGGATGAGGAGAGCCCACCTGCCCCCGCCCATCCTCACAACCTTCTACAGAAGCACCATAGAGAGCGTTCTGACCAGCTGTCTCTCTCTGTGGTGTGGAGGCTGCAGAGCTTCTGACTGGAAGAATGTGAGGAGGGTGGTGAGGACAGCGGAAGGAATCATTGGGGCTCCTCTTCCCTCCATTAAGGACATTTCATCACAGCGCTGTGTGTCCCGAGCCCGTAATATCATCAAAGACCCCTCACACCCCCACCATGGACTGTTCTCCCTGCTGCCCTCTGGAAAGAGGTTCCGCAGCATCCGCTGCAGATCCACCAGGTTGTGCAACAGCTTCTTCCCCACTGCCATCAGACTGTTGAACCTTTGATCCACAATCCGAACTCTGCACCTATTGCACATTATCGGGCATCAAATGCTGCTGAACTTTTAACTTTTAGCCCTTTAATTGTTCATCTCATTCTATTTTCAATAACGCATTTTTTGCACAAATGCCTATTTGCACTGAATCCACTGCAACTTGCACACTGTCTCTTATCCTCTGCACTGTTCACACTTTGACCACTGCTGCACTTTTTGTATTTTTCTATAACTTGAGCCATTTGAAATATCAATGCAACGTTCATAAGCTGTATGTAACGCAATTTCGTTCTGTATGCACCCTGTGCATACAAAATGACAAATAAAGAAGTCTAAGTCTAAGTCTCATCCTCCCCCTGGATACATGCTTCCGTTCGTTTTTCATGATCCCAGCTCTGAGCTGCAGACTCCGCTGTCTCTTCATGTCATTGGTGGTTCTAGACAGGGGCCAACGGGGGCCAGTGCCCCTGTAAATCATGTCCTGGCCCCCATCATGGCCGCTGTACCGAAGACATAATAATCAAAGAAATCCTAAAGATGATCTGCGGTGGAACAGACATGGTTACTGATAGTTTTTTCTCATTTTTTTTATTTACAAATTCTGTTTTACTAATCATTTAAAAAATATATATAAAAAAAAAAACAAGGTGATAGCTTCAGTGGTATTGAGATAAGATCCCAGTTTTCTGCTAAATGTTTTTTTCATAACAAATTTTAATAAGGCTCTAATATTTGATCAGTTTTTCTTAAGTCTTAATTCTGGTTTTATAAAAAACAGTCATTTTAATTTAAATAAAATCTAAAATGTGTAAAATTCCTAAATTATAAATGTATATTGACCAAACAAAAACATAGAATTTTAATTAAACCTAATTGGACAGAAATTTCACTTCATGCAGCTATATTAATATTTTTGAATCCCTTTTGTTTTTTATTTCATGCTTTTCTGGGCCCCCATGAGAACATGCCGGCCCCCTCCTGGCCCCCTGGTACATTTGGTGTAGAACGGCCCTGTTCATGTGACGCTTCATGTTTCCACATTTCATCTCTCAGCTTCTCTTACTGCTTTAATTTAAGGATCTTATTCGCTGGATTGACTAAAACCTTCACGCAGCAGTGGAGGGTGAGGAGCTGTGAAAATGATGATAAAAGCTTTTTATGAAAGTGTTGGTCCTCATGTGCATCACAGCTGAAGTGACCTCATCTTGCAGCCGATTGTGTGGAAACACAAAGCGCTCGGTCTGTCCTCTCTGAGGTGGAGGACAGCAGGCGTAGTTTGGAGAGGAGGACAGAGGCTCTTTGTGACTCCGTCGCACAATCGCTTCACTTCATTCACATGTTTTAGCAGAAGGAGAAGCAAACGGGAAACTTCATGCATGCTGGGTCAGCGTCCAGTCAAACTCACACATTCATCCCAGTTAGGGAGCTTATGTTAGACTGGGAGCGTTTTATTCACCCAACGCTCCGTAGTTCACATCAACAGGTGGAAAAGGGAAGGTCCACAGGTTTCAGGGAAACACGGTTATTTGCACGAGTTAACGGGTGGAGAGGAAGGGTCGGACAGACGGGAGGCTTAGTGCAGTGCTGCTCCTCCAGAGGCACACCTGCAGCCCCGCCCTGTTTTACTCACATTGCCACCACCAGGTACATGTTTTATGTTATCTTTGGAGCCACAGCGGGACTGAACGCTGCTCAGGTCCAACTTCTGATCAAGAATTTGGACCTGGAGAGTTTTTGATTTGGGGTGGAAGGAAAAAGAAATAGTTATCTTGGAGGAAAAGTTCAGACTAGAGCAGAGGAAGGATAATTAAAGACATTCATTAAAGGCTGATCATAAGAAACAGATGACAGTCTGTGTTTTTGTTCGCTGATGCAGCCAAAGTTCTACTTTTAAGGATTTCAGAGGTTTTCAAACCACTCAGGAAAAAATCAATTCTGACTTTCAGGGTTTTGATCAAGAAAAGGAATAAAAACTTCCAGTAAATAAGTGATTAAATATTCATGCTGTCATCATCAAAATGCATTTTAATATTTATTTCCCCAAACAGTGAAACAGAAACACTTCAGAGGGTCTGGAACTGGTTTGAGACCAGTTACCCCAGTTTCCCTCTATGGCGATTAATGTGGTTAGTTATGTTAGCAGTCATGTCCACCATGTTTTAGCTCCTCTGGATCGGCGCAGAGGCCGGCCGTCAGTAGAGCAGGTTCATCAATCACCTCTCCATCAAACGGAGAAAACCAGCTGAACACCATTTTAGTGCTGGGACGAGGCCCCGGCCCATACTGGTATCAGTGAATCACTAATTCTAACCATCTTAGGAGTCAGGAAACCTTCCTGTTGGGGCGATGGAGGCTCCCTACAAGCTTCACACGTTCAGAAAAACCAAAAACATTTTAACCCCCCCACCAGTAATGAGTAATATGTTTGTTACTGGTTGTGAACTGGTTTTCTTCAGGACAGCAGAGAGTTTCCATCAGCATCAACATGCTAACGTTTCCTGGCCTGTTATGGGAGCAGATCACAGGGGTTAGTCAAAGGTTTCCCTTCTGGACTGGATCAACGGGAGGAAACCAGTAACTCCAGTCAGATTATTCCTACAGGAAACTGAGGAACTGGAGATGAGCCCATTTGTGGTCAAATTGTTTTACAAATGTTCTTGCTTTTATTTTTCTTAGATTCTTTTATCTAATTCATGTAAAGCATTCTGAATTGTCGTTGTGCTATAAAAATCAAATTGCCTCGCCATGTGACCCAGGATGCTGTTTCATGTCAGAGCTTCCTTTAAACGGTTAATCCAGCTAGATTAATTCCTGGATTAAGTTTTACTATTATTAATAACTATTTTACAAACGTAAAAGGAAAAAAACGAAGCATTGTTTTATTTATTTTCAGCACATTTCTGTCCTTCCTTTGACTCCTCGAGTCAAACAGCCAATAGCCTCCAAAGCAGAAGTAATGGGATTACTTCAAAAGTAATGGAATTTAAACGCTTCAGTTTCTTTTCAGCTTCTTCTCATCAAACCAAATTTCTTAAATGTTTTTGGGTTGTGATTAATCGATGGTATTATCATGTATTCAACTGCTAGGAGAAGCATCAACCAACACAGTGACGTCACCGCTTGGAGAACTGCAACATTTCCTTTCTTCTATGTTTATGTTTTTCACATCTTTAATATAATAACTGATAATAGTGAGACACAATCTGTGTCTCACTATTATCTCACTATGAAGTTAGTTTGGTTAACCTTTTTAAATCGACTTTAAACACCAGAGCTAACTAAGCTAACAGTTGTTTTTGATCAGGCATATTTCTGGCTCTCTAATGGAGGATTTAATCATCTTTATCTGAGACTCTAAGGCTCGGTTTGAATCCATGGGCTGCATCCTCCAAGAACGCGTCTACCTGGACTGGATCCTTGGAAGTCCTTGAAAACCAGGAGAGGAAGAGTTTTGGCTGTCCAGCCTTCCACGGCTTTCACCACCTATGCTCTGTTGCTTAGTAACCGTGACAGTTGACACACAAAGCAGGAAAAGAATGAAAACCGAACTTTTCAAATCTGTTTCTTTTTAGTCTTTTTTTTTTTTATTGTAAAGTGAACAAAGACTGATGAGAATCCAGAGTGGAATAAAGGTTCCAACCAGCAGGAACAGATAAAATCAAATGTAATGATAGAAACCTTAGTCAGTTAAATAACCTGCTCCTGTCATTCTGCACATCTCTGATGTTGCTGCTATTTTCAAATTACTGTAAAAATGTTCATAGCTGCATATTGGTTATTTATTTATATGACCTACTAACAGAGCGACGACGAAGAGGAGCCAATTGATAGATCAAACTCTTGCTGAAACCAGTCGGGAGAAGAGCAAAAACATCTTTTCCTCTGAGAAAAGCCTCCAGAGCAGTGTTTTGCTCTTCTTTCAGTGAAGAAATACTCTGTAATTCCCATAAAACTTGCTCGATAGCCACGCTAACGCTAGTTTCATCGGCTGAAGCCGCCATGTTCTTTAGACTGAACTGTCGCGCTTCTCGTTGCGTCACACCTCAACCCGCCTCAAAGCCAACGCTGATTGGACGTTCGTTTGGGGAGCGGCTCCAAGTTTTCTTCAACAGAGAGTCTCCAGACTGATCTGCGAGTGAAACCTTCAAAGCTCGCGAGATCAGGATGGTCTCACGAGGCTAGGTTCATTTAGCCACACTCTAGTACCACCACTGGCCAATAGGGGGATAAATTACAGGTCTAGTGCCCCCTGGTGGCGAAAAGTTGAGTTAAAACTAAACTAATCGGAATCTCAAACCTTAGAGTCCAACTATTTTAGGGCTGTGGGCTGGGATGAACATAATAAACCACAGATTATCATCCTGTTCAATGAGCCAAATGTTCTCTAGGTTTCAACTGGATTTCTGCATAAAATATCTCGGTTTTAGAGGAATAATGAAAAACGATTCACCCACTAATAAGTCTTATCTGACAAAAGATGAAAATGTCCGGTTAGCTGTTTCCAAACGAAATTTCTTTTTGTTTGACACTTGTGTAAACAAAATGATAAATAAAATCTGTCTAAGTCTAAAAAGCACAGATTTCCAGTTAGAGACGTAGTGGAGCTGAATAAACGTCTCATCTTTACGTCTTCCTGGCGTCACACATCAGTGGGGGGGGGTCTAATGCCGTCTGTCCCCAAGGTGCAACCAATCACAGGGCAGGACAGCAATGCACGCCTGATGGCTTTTTAGAGAGATGAGAACCAGCCCCAGCCCCCCACCCCCCCGCAGCCATCATCACAGCAAACAGATTAGAGTTAGTAAACTATTTCTAAGGATCAAACAGAAACGTGTTTCTTTCTGTTTGAATAAAAAGCGTTTGTTGGTTTCAGGGCTGCAGGACGCTGCAGACTTTTTTAAACCTTCTGACTTTGAAAACCTCTGAAGATTTTTGGATGTTGGAGAAGAAAAGACGGTGTTGGGTTCATCCTCACGTTACTCACATTTCCTCCACCGGGTTTATGTTTTATATTGTCTTTGGAGCCACACTTAGACTGGACAGTTCTAAAGTCCAACTTCTGTTCAACTATTTTAACCTGGAAAAGTGCAGAAGTGAAGGGAGGGAAATCACTGAGAGCAGCAGCCGTCTGTTCAGCTACTAAACAACAACTGAACGTCGTTATTTGGATGCAAACATGTCCCTAAAGGTGAACTATGGATTCTTTAAACTTCTAAACCTTCTAAAGGAGCAGTGCTCTGAAACCAAAGCAGATTTCTCACCTTTCCTCCCCCGGGTCGGTGCTTCAGGTTGTCTTTAGAACCACAGCGAGCTTGAACATTAGATAAGTCCAGCTTCTTATCCAGGATTTGGACCTGGACAATGGAAAAAACAAACAAAGCAAAGAGTATAAGAGGATCTGCAGAGAGGAAAGCTGAAAGCGACGAGGAAGGAAGTTAAATTTGCAAATCCTCTCAGATGTTCATTTTCTGGAGGCTCGATGGTCTGATGAGGCTAAAGTTAAACGGGATGCGGTGGCCGTCCATAGATCTGGAGAAAATAGAGTGAAACCTGAGAACAGGGTCTGAACTGTGAAGCACGGAGGCGGAAGAATGAGGTTGAGGGACTCTGTGAGGAAATTACCTTTAATCTAAATATGGAAGGAACATCTTTAAGACCTTAAATAGATGATAAACGTAAGAAAATTAGCTGTAACGTGTCTGAAGAAGCAAAAGGTCAAAGTTCAGGGCAAAGCTGATCAGAAAACCCAAAACATCTGATCCAATATGTGCAGATTAAAGACAAGCTACCAAATAATGAGAAAACAGGAGACACTTTAATTTGAGGGAAGTTATTCTCTCTCCATTCTACGAACTACTGACCTGAGAAGGTGAACAAAGAAAAAAAAAAACTCTGAAATGTTTTTCTGTAAAAATCCCGTTAAGCCGTCCTGGTAGAGAAAAGCTGCTGCTGCTGCTGCTCACCTTTCCGCCTCCAGGCTGGTGCTTGATGTTCTCCGTGGAGCCGATCTTTGACCTGACGTTCTTCAGGTCGGGCAGCGGGGCGGCGGCGGCCAGAGGAGCCGGAGAACGGCTCTTCAGCGATCCCGGAGATTTGGGGTTGGAACGCACCACGGCCACCTTTTTCACTTTGGCCTCGGTGGCAGAGAGCGCCTGGCTGCCGGGGGACTTGGGCGTCCCGGGGCTGCTCTGCCCGCTCCTGGCATCTTCCACAAGCAGACAGACGGATTAATCAAACCATCGTTAGGATTAAAAGCAGAGCTGAGGTTAGTGGTTTAAGGCTGACTAGAAACTTTGGTTTATTTGGGCCATGCAAAGATGGCGGCCGTCTACAACCATCTGCTCATTCCGGTTACCTCTGTCATTTTTTGGAGGGGGGGGTTTCTTGGCACTAGCTGGGTTACAAATAATAAGAAACCTTAAAATCTTTCAAATGCTATAAAATGGAGGCGGGTTGTTTGGGTTTGCTACCTGGATTAGCTGCACTCCTGGCAGCAGGTTTGGCTCCTTGGACTTGAGGCTTGGCAGCAGCAGAAACCTGAAAATCAGAAACATGGCAGCTTAGACCTCAGCGATGACGGAAGGTGAAGGACTTCTTCTAAAAACACTCATCTGTAAGGAAAGTTGTTTGGAAAATGTGTTTAAAACATCCAAAACAATAAGAGGAGATGAGAGAATGATGATGGGAGACCTTCAGACTGGAGGATTATTTAATGGGAGACGGAGCATCAGCCCGCCCGGTTCAGACCCGCGGTCCGACCCGTGTCTCTCGGACCGGTACTTACTCCGGGCTGCCTGGGCCCTGGGCTGCTGCTGGCTTTAATGGGGATGGAGCTGTGGCCGTTTCGGCAGGAAGCACCGGTTTTGTTGCTCTTGGTGACAACAGAGGGTCTTTTAAGGGAAGAGGTTGTCGTGGTAACGGTTTCAGTCTTTTACATGAGGAGGAAAGGAAATGAATGAAAAATGATGCAAAACCAAACAAAAAAAAAATCACACAAAAAAAACAACAAAAAATGATTTAACTTAAAAATGGTGGAAAAAGCAGCTGAATGAAAAGTTTAATGTCTGAGGATAATTCTGGTGTAATCAGATGGTTATTTTTAGACTTTTCCATTATAGTAAAAAAATAAACTTTTTCCCGCTTTAGGTTCTTCTTATCAGGTTATCATAAAAAAGAACAAGGTGACTGGTTAGTGAAATGGTATCAGGAATTCCAAAAAAGTTCAAAATCAATCCTCTGGACTGTTGTTTCCCTCCTTATCCCAGCATCTGATACTGTCTCTGGCAGAGAACATTTTAATAAGGGTGTCCAGGCAATAACCAATGAACACTGAGGGGGGGGGGGCTGAAAGTAGGCGACAGAACCTATGGGTCAATCTCCACTGTTCCAACAGGAAAATTAATGAGCACAACATCCATATTTTCTAAATAAAGACCAACTATACTTTCCTACAGCCTTTGCTAACAAATAGATGAATATATTTAAACATCTGTGCTTCCTAGATAAAAGGTTTAGTGGATACAATTCTTTGAGTTTTGAATTCTGGGGCGAACATCTTTTCCATTGTCATTACTTACTTTTATCAATAATCATTCTGCCAAAAATGTATATTTACAAGTACTAACATCTACAGAAATATATTTTTAATATGTTTTTATTAAAACAGTTATCAATGATTTCTCTGAATACTCCTATATGACTTGCAGAGACGCATCATTTTCTCATTACCATATAACTCAAAATGTAGTTCTGACTGTTGCCACCATCTGTATTAGAGGGGGGAAAAAAGAGGTGGCCACCCCTGATCCCCCATCTAGCTCCGCCCCTGGGTCTGGTGGAGGAATGAACCAGCTTTCCAAAAACTTAAAAAACAATCCAATGGATTTTTTTTCCCAAGTTTGAAGACGTTTCTCTTCCATCCAGGAAGCTTTTTCAAATCAAAATGTCAGAAATAGCGTTTAGTTCCAGGTTTTATCCAGCAGCCCAACAAAGCCTGGTTTTAGTTTAGAAAACATGCAAATAGAAACGGATGAACGGGCCCCCCCTTTGGAATGGGGGTCGTTTGGCTTCTTTGTTAGCCTGCAATGCCCCATACCTGTCTATGTCTCTGAAAGGGGGGTCATTAGAGGGAATTGTTGGCCTGGATGAACAGGTGAGGTCTTCTGTTCTCCTGTAAAGGGGTTAGGGCTGCGATGATAGCAGGAAGAAATCAACAAAGCTGAAATCTGAGCCCCCCCCCCAACCCCCCCCCCCCCCCCCCCCCCCCCCCTTAAAGGTTGTTTTTTTCTTCCTTCACGTCCCTCTCAAACAACCTGTCTTCTTTGTCCTAAATGTGAAGATTCTGACCTCGTCTATTCAGCCAGGCTAACTATTCCCTTTAACACCCCCCTTTCAGAGACATAGACAGGTATGGGGTAGAGATGGCAAAAGTACTCACTTTCCCTACTTGAGTAAAAGTACAGATACTTGTGTTAAAAAATACTCTGGTAAAAGTGGAAGTACTGATTAAACTTCTTTACTCAAGTAAAAGTAACAAAGTACAGGCTTGTAAATTTACTTAAAGTATAAAAGTAAAAGTAGAAACCACTTTTTTCATGCCGTTGCCTACATTTTAAATGGATGTCTGCCAATAGGACTAGATCTCCGTTGTGTTCATTTTCAATCATCTCGTCGTCCATGCTACTATGCTAACGCCACCGCCACCAAGCTGCAATGATTTGCCGCCAATGAATACCGCCGAATCTGTCGATTCATCTTGTAGCGGTGCGTCAAATGCAACGTAGATTCCCATCCAATTAGAGTGAATTTGGTATTGATGACGTGAAAAATAATAACGGTAACTCCATTGAAATGATTCAAAACTAAAGTAACGAGCCTATTTTTTAAAATGTAAGGAGTAGAAAGTAAAAAGTCGCCATAAAAATAAGTAGTAAAGTAAAGTAAAAATATCAGAAAAATCTACTTGAGTACAATAACGAAGTATTTGTACTTCGTTACTCTACTTCCCATCTCTGGTATGGGGCATTGCAGGCTAACAAAGAAGCTAAACGACCCCCATTCCAAAGGGGGGGACCCGTTCATCCGTTTCTATTTGCATGTTTTCTAAACTAAAACCAGGCTTTGTTGGGCTGCTGAATAAAACCTGGAACTAAACGCTATTTCTGACATTTTGGATTGAAAAATCTTCCTGGATGGAAGAGAAACATCTTTAAATTTGGAAACAAAGTCCAGAGGATTGATTCTCATCTTTTTTGGAGTGACTATGCCCTGGATGACTGAGAATCTTCACCAGCTTTAAAATAACCTAATGTTTAATTAGGGATCCATCTAAGGACCAATAATTTAATATTATTTATCAGTGATTTCTTTAATTCACCAGAATGATCCTTTTCCAACAACCTTACACCAAACTGTCGATCCCTTTGGTTACCTACCTTCTCTCCGTTGTTTGTCTTTGCTTGAGCTACGGAAAGAAAACAGAGTCAGTTTTAGAGCATGGCTCTAGTTTTAGCTTCAGATCCATTCAGCTAAACATCAGTTACATGTTTGTGTCTCTGAGTGTCATAAACGAAAAGGCAAAACATGAAGTAAGCTGTGCCGGGTCTGCAGCATGCAGCGTGACTTAAAAACATCAGAATGTGTCTGCATGGGGTTGCAGGCTGGGTGGGCAGAGATGGAAACAGAAAGCTAACGTTGGGGTGGGGTGGGGGTAGGGTTGGGAATTGAAAAGATTTTCACGATTCCGATTCCCTTTTCGATTCTATGAAACGATTCGATTCTTTATCGATTCTTTTTTCGATTCCAATTTGGGGGAAAAAGGAGAACAAACAGTTTGATTATCAGAATCAACTTTGTTTACTTAACTATTGCACAATCTTACAAACTCAACAAGATCAAGATGTCCACAGGAAATGTGAAACTGGAGTAACATCTGTGTTTAAATGAAAAATGAATACAAGAACAAACTTAATAACCAACAATGTCTAATAACAAATGATGGGATAATAACCTATTTTAAATAACAAAAAATACTAATTATAAAACAGTAGTAGCACTGCAAAAAATGTAAATCTAAATAAGTCATTTGTTCTTAAAATAAGTTCATTTTTTCTTGAATTGAGTAAGTAAGTGACACATTTTGCCAATGGAACAAGACAATTTACATTTGAAATAAGAAAAAAACTATTGCATTGTCTTATTTCAAGTGCATATTATCTAATTATCTTATTTTAAATGTAAAAATACTCATTCCATTGGCAAACTGTCTTATTTACCTGCTCAAATTAAGGGTAAATACACTTGATTTAAGATATTTTTACTTAATTTCAGATCGTTTTTGCAGTGAGGGAAAATTAACAATTGTTTTGCAGAAAGATGAGCATATCTGCTTTTTCTGGAAGGATACGGGATCTTTCAGCGCTTATGGTGTCTCCAGCCGTGGAAAACACCCTCTCAGATGGGATGGAGGAAGCCTGCACACAGAGGTAGTTTTCAGCCAGTCCAGATAGCAAGGGCAGCACATCTTGCTTGTTCCACCACCACAGTGTGGCGCTATCCCTGCAGGGGATGGAGGGCAAGCTTTTACAGAGCTGGATTTCCTGATCTACCCTCTGGGCTAAGGAAAGACGGGGCTTTGATTCACAAAGTGACCGCAGCTCGTTGTCTTCCTCCTCGAATAGTTCTTCCAACTTGCGTAACTTGCGTAACTTACGTAACTTACGTAAAAAACGTGACGTAAGTCGTGCTCCCCAGAGCCGGCGCTCTAGGCTCTGGTGCTGCGGGAATCGAAAAAAGAATCGTTCAGCGAGCTGCCAAACGATGCCATGGAATCGGAAAATACGGAACCGGTTCTTAACAGGAACCGGTTTTCGATTCCCATCCCTAGGTGGGGGGGACAACAAGCTGCTCAGTTTAAAGGTAGAAATAATCTGGAGAAAAAGTGCTGCACCACAGAGAGGCCAAGCTGCGTTGGTAACTGAAAGACGTGGAAGGCGTTAACTGAAGCAGGGCTGGTTCTGAACATGAGCAAACAGACCTTTGGAAACTGCGACCGGCACCAGAGACCTCCTGGCTGCAGGGCTCTGGGAGGGGCTCTGAGCAACACTGCTCTTCTGTAAGGCACTGGAAATGTCAGGCTTTGAACCGCCGGCCCCGTGTGACGGTGACTCAGTCTCTGAGTCACACGGCGGTTTGGCGACAAGACGAAGCCCCTCAGAGAAGCTCCCGTTTACTGGAGCTGGAGGCAGATCTTTCCTCCGCCTTAGTTTCTGAAGACTTTCTTCAGTTTCTGAAGAAACGCTTTTGTTTCCACAGTCAGGCTGTAATTCAGCTCCCTCCACAGTCTGAACATCTTTTATTTGCTCCAAGATGGCCCCCTCCTCCTGGTTAAGCCGTAAGCTTTGGTCTTCAATGACTGTCAGATCTTCCAAAGCTGCGCTGCGGACTAAAGACATCCCTGGTGGATTTCTCATTTCCGCCAGGCGTTCAGATGCATCAAGGCTGATTGCCCTCTGAGAGTCAGCTGCTCCAGTCCACTCAGGGCTCCCCCTGCTGGCCTCTACCTCCTGCCTCATCTCTGACCTGCAGCTCAGATCTTCGGAGACCCATGAAGAGTCACTTAACCTCTTCCCACAGTCTCCCTCCGCCTTTTTTCCTGGCTCTGTAGACGAGGCGGCCTCCGCAAAGTCAATGACCTTCTCAGCGTCTCCGGGTTCAGCGGGAGGAAACCCACCATTAGCTGGCCTCACTAGTTTGGCTTGAAAAGCAGATTACAGAACATTGACAGCACTTGTTTTCCACCTCCCCATTAATAAAAAAATGCAATGAGGGGAAAACATGAACTTTATGAAGGAAATCAAAAAACAAAGAGATGGATTTGGACAGAAAAACACACTTGAGTGAGAAACACAGATGCTACATTCAGGAGGGAATAACTGAGATAACCTGCCAATCATTTGCATGTTAAAGAAGTAATGCTGCAGTGACTGAGGACTCCAGTTATAAGGAGCTAAGCTGCGTTCAGACTCAGCGGGTTTTCAGCGTCAGGCGTCTGCTTTACATGTGGTCTGCGGAGCCAGAGGTATAACTGAGGGGTATGGGAGAATTATAATTGGAAATAACTATCAAACATTTTGTATTTTTTCCCCTACATTTTGAAATCAATACTTGTTTCTACTTCTCCAAAATGATACTTCATTATACTAACCTTCATTTTGTACATAACAAACCACTAATTGTTTAAAATTACTTAATTCAGAATTTTTCGGGTTATCCATAAATACTGAACTTTGCTGAATCGAGCCACAAAACTTTCAGCTGACGCTCTTATAAGTGGCGTAGTAGCACAGGCACACTCAGTAGGGTTAAACAAGCGCACCCTTTCCCAGGCTGCCGTTCTATTGGCTGGAAAGGTTGCTAGGCGACGATTCAATTGCAATCTGAGAGAGAGCAAAAAAAAATCCGCAAGCAGAGCCTACGGGTTTGCGAGCGTATCTGAGACTCGAACAGAGCGCGGTTTGTGCGCGAAGAGAAGGAGGCAAGCGAGAGGAGAAAATATCTGTGCAAGAAGCATTAAATCTGAGAGAAGAAACAAAGATTTGAGAGAGAAGAGAAAATATTGGAGAGAGAGCGCATGTTTTGAGTGTGAGCATTATAAGTTTGGAGTGCAAGAAGATGAAATTCTTTTCTCAAATTGAAATGATGTGCTCTTGCATTATGGCAGGATAATTCTCCCCTAGAGGGGGCAATTGCCACCCAGAAGAAACCCTTGTCCCCCCTGTTGCCACCCCGCTGAAAACATTAACACTGTTTGAATTTTACGAAAATCTGCAAAGAAAACAATCCGATTTCCAAGCGGACTTGAATGCCTCCTCACACAGCATGCTCCTGCTGCACCTTTCATTGGTTAAAGTCGTAGGGAAGTGGCTGTTCCGACTGTTGCATTTGCGAATTCTCCCGAGTGGTGCACGACTTTATATAGTGAATGTGATTGGTCGATTATCAAGGGGGCGGGATTGTTGTGGAGCGAGATCCAGTAGGGCGTTTGAAGCACTAGGTGCGTTTTGGGTGACATGTGGAGCGTGTTTGGAAATGTACGCGGAAAACGCTAGAATTGAAAATGTGACTCGTGCAGCTCGATGAGACGTGTCAGCTATTGATCTGGGACCGGGAAACGGTTAGTGCGTTCAAGGTGAGACATTTAATTACTTTCCAGGAACAGGAAATCCCAGAGCTTCAACTGTAACCGGGGATTCCCACTGTTACCGAGCAAATACTACAGAATATTTTAAAAAAAAATTTACAGGTGCATTTTCTTGCTTAAAACATCTTAAAACGAAAGCCGCACTCAGTTGCATAGAAATTTTTATCAAGATAGCGGTCAAGGAAAGAAGAGGGAAGCTCCTTCCAACCTGCATCAGACACACTTTGTTCGACGCGCATCAAGCAGGTCGATGACGCTCTTGACTTCAAAGTGCAAAAATATCCAGGTTGAGGCGTGAGCCGCCTTTCAAACACGTTTGGTCTGAACGCAGCTCAAGCTGTTCCTGTTTAGTTGTTTCTACGTTAGCCTTTGAGTTTCTTGGTGTCATTTTTTGTTTGCAGTTATCTCTCTGCTTGCAGGGCTTTTATGTTTTTGCAGCTCATTTGGATTTCTTGGTTTATCGTATTATAAGTTATTCTAAGTTGCAGTAAATATGTTTGACTTTTTTTCTGATGTTTCCTGAAGTTTGGAACTTGTCAGGCTTTTTATTGTAAAGACAAACATGCTAACCTTGCAGCTAGTCAGATGTTTATGTGAAGATTTAACCTCCAAGGTTTTAAATTACATTTAAAACCTACTCTGCAAACATTTTTATTATAAATAAGTATTTTTTTCATAAAATAAGGTCATTTTTTTCTTGAATTGAAGAGGAAAGTGAGACACTTTGCCAACGGAACAAGATAATTAACATTTAAAGTTGCCGTTTGGATTTTTCGTTTTGGAAAGGACTTTGGACTTAAACGCTTCCAGGATTTGACTTTGGGTTGGGAGCGTATGGAACTCCTGTTTGGACATTATTATTAGAAATAAAAAGAGACGGACAGTTTTGGACTTTCAGTTATTAGGGATGTTTTTGTTTGTTTTTGGCTGATATAAATTGAGACTTTGAGTTAACTTATAAATTGGTTGTGAAGGTTTTTCGGTTATTTAACATTTAAACTGAAATATTATTGAATGGAATTTTGGATTCTTGGTAATTGCGATTTATTATTATTATAATTATTATTTTTTAAATGAATCTGTTTGCTAACAATTGTAATACTTTGCCTGATTTCCTGTGAAAAACCTGCTTGAGTATTTGTGAGTTCCGCTTTTAATCTAGCTGAATTTTATCCTATTATCTTATTTTAAGAGTTAAAATACTAATTCCATTGACAGATCATCTTATTTAGCTGCTAAAATTAAGGCTAAATACAATAAATTTAAGAATTTTTTTTACTTATTTTTGGACAATTTTTTGCAGTGTAATAGAGAAGTTTGTAAATTTTCTGCCTTTAGCATATTAATCATTTAAATATCATTAAACCATAAAACCATTTGTCGAAATTAGTTTTAATATCATAATACTTGAATAATTGTTAATATAATTTTATCAAATTTTAGACCCAGAAAAATATTTTTAGAGTTAAAAATAACTAAAAAAATCCCCCCAATGTGTTTAGAAGACAGATGAGTATGAATTGAAATGATACAATATAATAGGAAGACATCCACAATTGGAAGATGACCTTTTTTAGCAGCTTGACATTACTTTATGTGTTTATTATAGTGATGTACGATATTGGGATTTTGGCCGATATCCGATATGCCGATATTTTAAAACTCATGTAGCCGATAACCGATATCGATACCGATGTTAAAGCTGGACAAAAATAAGTAGTCATTGAAAATAGCAGTTTTGTTATCCATTTCTGACACTTTGAAAAATAATATACTCAAATATATTTTCATATGCTGATATCAAATTGATTTTTAAAAACGCGGTATCGATCTATTTTACTTTCAAAATCTCGTGAAATTTCATTGTTCTGTTACAAACTCTCGTGATATTTTGCAAATTCTTGTGAGATTTTGTTAGTAAAATAGATCGATACCGCGTCAATATATCAACGTATAAAAATATGGCAACATTTGGTGAATTTTCGGGGGATTTCGTAGCATAACGATGACATATAGCAATATTTCATTAGTAAAAGAGATTGATATGGTGTTTTTAAATGGCAATATATCAGCATATGAAGATATTGGGATATTTTAATGGATCAATATTTTTTCCCTCGTCTTTAGAAGTTTTTAAGTCTGTAAAAAAGAAGTTTTTGAGGAAGAAGTAGTATTTTTTTTTTTTTAGACTTTAGAAACTCAGAAGCTGATCAAATATCGGGTTAAATATCGGTGGGGTGGTCGATGTCCGATATTCAGTTTTAAGGCCGATACCGATAGGGGGCCGATTATATTGTGCATCCCTAGTTTTTTTATGATTATTATAATTTAATAATGGATGTGTGGTTATATTATAAGGATGTCGATCACTAAAGATCACCCATGTGGGAAACATGAGGGAGCTCCGTAAAAATCAAAGCTCGTTGGAAACATTTACTGTGAAACCGTGGGGAAAGTTTGTGAACATTAAGAAAAATGCTTCAGTTAAAGAATAATTTTAAGATCTAATAATTCTAAAATATGACATAAAACAAACTTGATACTTAACATAAAACAAAAAAACACTTTTATTTGATAAATTAAATGTCTTTTTTTTAAATGCTCTTCTTGTACGGTTACACAAATATTATCGTAATTTTAGGACAATAATGTTTGGGGGGGGGGGGAAGAAGTTATAAATGTTTTGATTAAAAATCTTTAGAAAATCTGAATTGAAATAAAAAAAAAAAGAAGCAAAATCAGAAATCCACAGAAAAAATATAAAACTTTAGAAAAATCATTAACCTTTTTCAAACATACACTGCAAAAAAATTACATCTAATTAAGTCATTTCTTCTTAAAATAAGTGCATTTTTTCTTGAATTAAGGATTTAAGTGAGACACTTTGCAAATGGAACAAGACAATTTACACTTAAAATAAGAAAAAACAATTGCATTGTCTTATTTCAAGTGCATTTTATCTAGATACCTTGTTTTAAGAGTAAAAATACTCATTCCATTGGCAAATCATCTTATTTACCTGCTCAAATTAAGGGTAAATACCTTTAATTTAAGACATTTTTACTAATTTTGAGATTGTTTTTGCAGTGTAGAAAATACTCATAAGTTACATTCCTTAAAATTTACCTTTTTATTGCATTTTATTGATAGGAGTAAATAATTTAATCCCGGCAGAATAATTACAGAACAAATACAGAATCTAGTCAATAAACTGCTGACATCATTGCACTGCTTCAGCACAGGAACTCAGCTGCAGGTAAATGACTCTAAGTGGAATAAAGAAGCGGTGTAGCTGCCTACCTGTTGCAGACGCAGCTCCTGCTGCTTATTGATCAGCATGAGAGACAAATGGGAAAAAACACAAGAGCTCAGTCAGTAATGTGTTTTTGCTTCATGACCGATTAATGCAAACACTCTTAGCGAGGAAATCAATGCGCCGCAAACAGGAAGTCTTCAGTTAATGCAGAAGCCAGCAGCCAATCCCTGTCAGTCAGAGCCAGAAAAGATTCAAAGGTATGAAGGTAAATATGCAAAAGAAAACCAAAGGTTTCTGCAAACTCAGGCTTGCATGAGGACCCTGTTAGCCGCTGGTTTAGCTGTGACTTTAGCACATCTGTGCAGCAGATGCACAGATTCGGCCACTATGTGTTTTGGCCTCTTCTGTTCTAAAATAACCATCATTCACAGTTAGATTAAGAAAAGCTCTTTGTTGTTTTACTGTAGTGATTGTGTTGCTGTTCTTTATATGGCAGCATTAAAAGGAGCCACCATAAACACTAAAGAGCCTGAAGACAAAAACAGAAAGAAACCAAGTTTTTTTTTTAACTATAGAACTACGATAAACTGCTAATTTATTTAATCAGGTAACACTGAGACACTGACTATTACAGGTATCGACTATTTCCTGTTATTCATTTTTAATTTACATATGGCGACTTTCTAATTTGTCTGCATTTCTGCAGGAGTGATATTATCGATGTATTATTGATGTACTATTATTATTCACCAAGACAAATTCAGCCCTGGAAGATGAAGGATAATCTTAATCTTAATCTGGGGTACTAAACGGTTTAAACACTAGTCATAGATGTGAAGGAGAAAAGCGTTAAAAAATAAGGTGAAATTCAGAAAGAGAGATAGATTTCCTAAGGTTAGAGGATTAGGGCCAAAAATATGGAAAAGTCCACTTGTTGGCGACAGTCAAAACAACTAAGTCGCCGAGCGGCTGATTAGGGGAATCCTTGTTGACGCGCTCAAAAGGTTCAGTCCAATATTCTCAACTCAACTCAACTCAACTTTATTGTCAAATGTGCTACATGTAACATACAACACAGATGAAATTTCCATCCCCTCAACCCCACGGTGCATAATAAAATATAAAAATATATATATATTAAATGAGCCATAGCACGAAAATAACCTCTATTCAGATCCTTTTATTGATCTTCAAAAAAAACATGCAGGCAGCATACAAACAAATCCACAGGTTGGAGCCGTGATCAAGCGCAACAATAATCTCCAAAAACTTAAAGCGGTCAGCAAAATGTAGACATCCCCCATCACCCACTCTCTGACACAAACACCAGGTGAACAGAACAGGTGATTTTACCAATCACCGCTGACACCACGTGATCAAAACTATGCCCATTCACCACACCACTGATAAAAAAATTAGAAATCTATATTTTAATTACAATATTCTAATTCTAATGAAAGTATTCAGCTTTTAATCTTTGCAATCTGACTATAATCTAAGACTTCTGTTTTTGATTAGAAGACTCTGCATTCTGAGTTGAATCTCTATATTCTAATTTTTTTATCTCTGTATTTTTTTGTTTTAAATCTCCTTATTCAGATTATAATCTCTGTATTCTGACTATAATCTCTATATTGTGACTATAAATTATATATTCTGAGTATAATCCTCTGTATTTTGAAATAATCTCTATATTCTGACTGTAATGTGTTTTTATTATATATAAAAATCAGTTTACTATCACACCCCTTCTCCTGTTAATTATGAGAGCTGATTTTGGTTAGAAGCTCGACTCCTTCAGACTGAAGGTTGTTTCAACAAATGCTTCAGTTTGTGGGAAACGTTCCACAAATTGAAAACCTGTGTGAGCAGAACAGGCAGGAAAATCAGCAAAGACTGTATCTGTTCTGCAAGCCTGAATAAAGGCTACTTGGATGAAAAAACACTGGATCCTGTTAAAAAAGACTGGGACATTTTTTACATTACCAGCTCTGTATTTTGAATTTAATCTTGGTATTATCATTTTAATCCATGTTTTTGATTCTAATCCCTGCATTCTGATTTTAATCTCTGTATTTTTTATTTTGATCTCTGTTTTTGATTCTAATCTCTGTATTTTGATTTTAATCTCTGTATTTTGATTTTAATCTCTGCATTCTAATTATAATCTGTTTTTATGTTAATCTCAGTATTTAATTCTAATCTCTGCATTCTAATTATAATCTGTTTTTATGTTAATCTCAGTATTTAATTCTAATCTCTGCATTCTGATTTTAATCTTGTTTTGACTTTAATCTCTGTATTTTGATATCTAATCTCCGTATTCTAATTTTAATCTCTGTATTTTTTATTTTGATCTGTTTTTGATTCTAATCTCTGTATTTTGATTTTATTATCTGTATTTTGATTCTAATCTCTGAATTCTAATTTTAATCTTGTTTTGACTTTAATCTCTGTATTTTGATATCTAATCTCTGAATTCTAATTTTAATCTCTGAATTCTGGTTTTAATCTCTGTATTTTTTATTTTGATCTCTGTTTTTTATTCTAATCTCTGTATTCTGATTTTAATCATTGTTTCCTGATCAGAACCTCAGAGTCTGAGAAAAAGAAAACCCACAGAATTCGGTCCCATTAATTCCTGTAAATAAATATCTTGCTGCAGTTTTCCATTTTGCATGCCTCTAGATTAAGTGGAATTCACTCGGTTGTTTTAATCTGGAGTTCATTCAAAGCTGCAGGAAGCAGAAGAAGCTGAAAAGGAGGAGCAGAAGAAGTGGAGGAGGCATACCACCTTGGCCCTCGTCTTCTCTTTCTTTGTCTGAGAGCTCAGAAACAATTTCTGCTCCTTCCTCTGCAGAAGTATCTGATGCAGGATAAAATGAATGTCAGGCAGTTTTCAGATAACGAGACGTACTAAATCTAGATCTGCTCATCAGGCTGAGAGTTTCTATAAAAAGTGCTCAATCTGAATGCGTCTCCACTAAGAGGCCACTTCATCACCTTTCCAGCCTTCGTTTCTCTGATCAAAGCGGGTTAATCCAGGGAGGAGCCGCGTTAGTTAGAGAGACACTGTCCCTGTTAGAGTCAGATCTATGTTCATTGACTCTACCTGCAATTAGAACAGCGGCAGAACAGCAGGGTAGATTTAAAGCAGGAAAACATAAACTGGAATTAGTGAGGGCTGCAGGTGGAGGGCGGAAATAAAAGTTATTTCTGCAAAAGAGAAAAATGGCTGAAAGCAGAAAGACGTCGAAGGGATGAAACTAAAATGACATCGAGAGGAAAAGCAGGTGCAGCAGCTTCTGAAGCGTCAGCAAACGGAGCTGAAGGCGTTCCTACCAGGAAGCATCTCATCATCCAATCGGCTGCTCTCTGGCTGAGAAAGGTCAGATTTCAGCCCGTTTTCAAAGATCACTGCTCCTTCGTCTGGAAATCAACACCCAAGTTTATCACAACAGGAGAAAAGGAGAACCACTTTATTCACATCTTCATGAATCTTTAAAACTTTCATAAAAAATTTTCATTTTTTATTACATTTACATCAAAGATTATTAAGATGCGACTGAATACTTAACCCTGCTTTGATTAATAATAAATATTTGCTGCTTTTGCTTCACTTTAATTTGTGAAAAACATATTTTCCTGGGAATCTTTTTGCTGCTGAGTCAAGTCAAAGTTATGGGAGAATTAATTACATTTGAAGACGTCAAATCAAAGATTTTAAAACAAAATTTTATTATAATATTGTTCATATTTATAGGACAAGGAATGTAATAAAACTGTTCAGGTGTTTATGATAAATTTGACTAAACATTCATGGACGAAATTTTAAATCAGTATGAGAAAAGGAAATTGAGAAAATTAGTTTTTATCGAGGAAAAGTAGATTTAAAGTCGTAGGGAACCAGCTGTTCCAACGGTTGCGTTTCCGAATTCTCCTGAGTGGTGCACGGCTTTACACGAGTGAATAAAGTGAATGTGATTGGTCGATTATCAAGGGGGCGGGATTGTTGTGGCGGACGGTTCAAAAGCAAGTTTGGTTGTGGCCGGTTTGTGGGAAGCATCTTGCTAACCAGTTAGCAACTTAGTGCTAGCAGGTTCCCAATGGGAAATTCCATTGGAACCAAGTAGCACTAAATTGGTGACTTAGAAACGACGCTGTCAAGGAACGCTATGGACAGCGGAAACATGCAAGAGGAGGAGAGTTTAGTGTCGGAGGTCGTGGATGAGTCTCCTCGGTCATCCATTTTTTATTTAGAGGAGGAAAGCGGGGACGAAGATGTTGTGGAAGAGGACGCCAGGGCGGCAGAAGCTTGGTTTGGTGTAGAAGGCTTCCAGCCGTTCATGTTTGAGCCCTTGCCTCGCAACGCTGCCAGTTCTGTTAGCTCTACGCCTGCCGAAGACACAGACGTCCATCCCCGTGAACACTGGGACGCAACTCAATGGGAAAGGAAAGGATTCTGGTTTCAACCGTTGCGTATATTAGCTGCGACACATGGATCAAGATGCTATGACCGAAAACATTTGATTGACAGATGACCGTTGATATATGATTGGCTGAATTTAGGTGTTCAGGCTGACGTAGAACTAACTGGCCTGCAGGAGATAACGGAAAAAACACAGATTTTAAGACAGGATGAATTTTTTAAAATAGAAATTTTCTAACTTTTGGGACAATATGGTCTGATTATTTCCCTACAATTTTGAAGACAGAACAGGAGAGTTGTGATTAATTTTCATAGTGAGCATCAGATAAAAATCTGATATGGTATAATTTTTAATGTCTAGACACATTATTTCTATTTGAAAGGTTCAAAATTTGATGAATGGGTGAAAAATCAGAAAAAAATAAAATTCTCCTATAGTTGATGCTTACAACAAGAATTAAAAATAAAACAAAACATTTCCAATTACAGGAAAGAAAAGAAAAACCTGAAACCACATGTTTAATATCAGTCTTAAAATTATTAAATTGTTACTTTAACTTTTGTTTATTTTCACTGTAATAACATAGAGACATAAATTGGTAGTTTGGATGTAGACAGTCTACAGACCACCACACTGTCTGGATGCTACAGCTGACTAGAACTAGAGGATCAGATACTCACTGCGTGTTTCACTGCTTATTGATTCACTGTCTATCTCTGCAGACAAACCGGACTCCGTGGGCTTTGTCCTGTTAGCACACGGGATAATGGGGATTGGAAACGGGTAGAACGACTGCACTAGCGAGGGCTGTAAACTGGGAAAGGCTAGGCTACGTACTAAATGGCCATTTGGTTTGTTGGGATAAAAACAGGAAGAAACAAACTTCTGATGGACTTAAAACTTTTTTTGGCAACAAAATAAACAATTAAACAATTTTACAACAGAACAACCTAAAAACAATCATGCAAGCTTTTTAATAAACGGTAATAGAATTCCCAAAAATTTAAAAAGCAATCAACTACACTTTGTTTCCAAGTTTGAAGACGTTTCTCTTCCCATCCAGGAAGCTTTTTCAATTCAAAATGTCAGAAATAGCGTTAAACTTTAACCTAATTTAGCCACAGTGTTGTGTAAATATGTCTGATAAACGTGAATATTCTGCTGCTAGAGTAGATATCATGACTCATCAATGTGGAAAAGTGTGACATACAGCATTGCTGCTGTAACATCTCTAGCATATTTTCTCCTGTGCTCTACTTTCCTTAAAGCATCACTTCTATCGATTAACTTTCAATATTATTGTAATTTTTGTGTGTTTCTTGTCTTTAAACAGCGTCCTTGGCGAGTCAGTAGAAAGTGATGCTGCCATGAAACCAAATATATGCCGACGCATTTCTACTAGAATGTGCAAGAAATCTCAAAATAAACTTTTACTGTAGCAGAAAAGTCACTTTTATTTAGTGGGCCCACAGCATTACAGATCCTCCACTGTGCTGAAATGCAGAAATCAGGTCTTCTTTCTACATATTCATTATTTTTAATATGCGTTCAATTCTTATTTTTATGTCCAATTTGGGTCACAGATATATAATATAATTTATAATAATTACATATATTATATATAATTTATAAAAAATAAAATAAATAAAATGATAATTAAAAAAATTAAATAAAAATTAAAAAAAGAAATAATGGGTTCTTTTGAACCAATTATTTGAACTAATTCAAGCACTGAGGAAATGCTTAGAAGAAATCAACGCCTGGATGTGCCATCATTTTCTTCAACTGAATAAAAACCCAACTGAAGCAATAACCTTTGGACCAATAGAGGAGAGATCTAAAGTTAGCACACTGCTTCAGTGGCTTCAGCTAGTAACCACTGATCAGGCCCGAAGTCTAGGTGTAGTGCTGGATTCAGACTTGAACCTCCAAAAGCATTTAAAGACAATTACAAGGTGGGCTTTCTATCACCTGAAGAACATTTCCAGGATTAAAGGACTAATGTCTCAGCATGATCTGGAAAAACTAATCCATGCGTTTAGTTTTAGTAGAATTGATTACTGCAACGGTGTTTTCACAGGTCTGCCTAAAAAGTGGATCAGACAGCTGCAGCTGATCCAGAACGCTGCTGCCCGTGTCCTCACTAAGACTAAGAAAGTAGAGCACATCACCCCAGTTCTAAAGTCCTTACACTGGCTCCCTGCATCTCAGAGAATAGACTTTAAAATTCTTCTGTTAGTCTATAAATCTCTGAATGGCTTAGCACCTAAATACATCACAGACTTGCTATCAGTGTATCAACCCTCCAGACCACTCAGGTCTTTTGGCTCCAGCCTGCTCTGCAGACCTAGAACCAGAACTAAACATGGAGAAGCAGCATTTAGTTCCTATGCTCCACTTATCTGGAACAAACTTCCAGAAAACTGTGAAAGTGCGGAAAGCCTGAGTTCCTTTAAATCAAGACTAAAAACTCATTTGTTTAGAATCGTCCTTCCACTGTTCTAGTTAAACAGTTCAACTAAAATATTTTTTCTTTAGTCCAACTGTTTTTAATATTCTTCTTTGTTTCTGCATTTTTTATTTTATTTTATTTTATTTTTTTCCTACTTGCTTTGATTCGGTTTTATCTTCCTGTATTTTAATCATGTAAAGCACTTTGCATTGTCTTTGTACTGAATTGTGCTATATAAATAAATTTGCCTTGCCTTTGTACATGAGTGCATGTCCTCTAACTAAAGGCTGCATTTTCCTAAATCTTTCAGTAGAGATGATGCTGCCAAATTTAACTGTATCCCTCAAAGTTCTATCATATAATAACCGGCGTACTTTACTAAAGGTGAACAGGAGACAGTAAAAAAATGATGGCAACAACCTTTCATGGTAGAAAACAAATAGCTGATAATAGTGAACAGTTTTCCTGGCCGCATTAAATGACTGATTGCTCACTAATGCCAGCAAAACGGGACTAAAACGGAGCTGGATGGTGAAAGTCTGACCCAGATACCCAGATTACAGAGCCCAGTCCAGCTGCAGCCAAGGATGTATGGCATCCATTATGCAAAGAGAGAGATCAGGACAAAAGGCAGCAGAAAGTCGGGGAGTCGGCCCCCGCCCCCATGCAGGACACACACCCTCACACCATGGTACATCCACTGACTGGTTTTTAACATGATAATCTGTCTGTATTCTGGGATTAGAGATCTGACACGAAAAGGAAACTGAAAGGCACGACAAATTAAAAGATTTAAAAGGTTTAAAACATATTAAAAGGAAAATTTGTTCAATTCTGATGCAGATTAACGGCAATTATTGTTTTTATTCATTTTAAACGTCTACATGCCCTGAAGAACTGAATGAAGTAATTATTTATCTGCTGAATGAGTAGTTTTAACAACTTAAAAGAAGAAAACGACACTGTCTTTATTAAATATCTTAAAAAGACAGTGTTGTAGAAATGTTTCCCACATCTTAACATATTTTTAGATGTTTTTATACTTGTTTATTACGACGGAGTATTAAGGCCAGGCTAGTGATTTATTTATTTTTTTTATTTCCAGAATAAAGTCATCGTTTAACAACCTGTTACAGAAAGAAAGCTTGGAGCTCCGCCCAGCAGATGACGGCCGACCAGCTCCACCAATCAGCAACCAGAGTCCACTTTGACATCCTGCCCAGTTTGATGCTGCTGCTGAAAGATTTCCTGATTTATCAAACCGATGCTAAAGTAGAACTTCACACGATGCTCCACATTCCTCATTTTAGGGAAGAAAGGGCTTCTTGGAAGAGTTGTCATAAAATACAACTTTATTCTCTTAATATTACAAATTTATTCTAATAATTTTATGACTTCATTCATGTAATTTTAAGACTATTCTTGTTGCTTCTTTATTCTCGTAATTAAAACTTTATTCTCGTAATTTAAAGACTTAATTTTCATAATTTTAAGACTTTTCTTGTTGCAACTTTATTCTCGTAATTTTATTACTATTTGTGTGACTTTTTTCTCGTAATTACAAGTTTATTCTCACAATTTTACGACTTAATTCTTGTAATTTTATGATTTTTCTCATTGCAACTTTATTCTTGTAATTTTACAACTTTATTCTCGTAATTTTATGACTTAATTCTTGTAATTTTATGACTTTTCTTGTTACAACTTTATTCTCGTAATTTTACGACTTAATTTTCGTAATTTTAAGACTTTTCTCGTTGCAACTTTATTCTCGTAATTTTACAACTTTATTCTCTTAATTTTATGACTATTTCTGTGACTTTTTTCTCGTAATTACAACTTTATTCTCGTAATTGTACGACTTTAGTCTCACAATTTTATGACTTAATTCTTGTAATTTTATGACTTTTCTTGTTACAACTTTATTCTCGTAATTTTACGACTTAATTTTCGTAATTTTAAGACTTTTCTCGTTGCAACTTTATTCTTGTAATTTTACAACTTTATTCTCGTAATTTTATGACTATTCGTGTGACTTTTTTCTCATAATTACAACTTTATTCTCGTAATTTTACGACTTTAGTCTCATAATTTAACGACTTGTTGCGACTTTATTCTCGAAATACAAAAAAAAACCTCTAGACTGACCCTAACACTCCGTCGTAGTTTATAGAGATAATGACATTTTTTAGTATAAAATTAACTCTCAGCAGATCTAACTTCTTGCAAGATTGAGGAAACTTATTTATTTAGCAGGTTTTTGGACATTGACCTTTTAGATATTCAGGAAGCGTCCTGTAAGTCCTTGGAAAGTAACCAGCTAACTAGTACCTGAAAGTAGCAGGTTAGTCATGCAACCAGTTGCTCCTCAAAAGCTTCAGGAAACAGAATAAATCTGAATGTTTGGGGAAGTAACCTGTTTGTTCCAGGAAAGTATTTGCGTTGCACTACAGACGGATCATTCTGCCATTTTTTGTTAGATTTCCCTAAAAAGCTCAATTGTTTTTTTAGATTTTAATTCAGACCTTTTTATATCTGACATGTTTTCTATTAAAAGCTAACTGAACTAGTTATCTGCATGTAAAGGCTGTTTATAAAGGGTTTGGGGTGCATGTCTCCTTCTCTCCTGCTGATCTGATGCCTGACCTTTCATTTTGACGCCGTTCTCCTGGTGATGTTGATCATTGATGGTCATGTTGGCTAAGGAGCTGCTAACGGTGTCTCCAGAACCGTAGCTGTTCGAGGCGTTGTTCATGTACTCCATTGGCGGTCACGGGTCAGGCTGAAAAAGAGCAGATAAACCAAGGTCAGCAGAGCGGTCCAGAATGAAGCAGACGTCAAAGGAGACATAAACTTTACGCGCATAGAGGCCGAGGTGAAGGAAGGATTTAAGGTAAACATGACGCACTTGTTGGTCTCCTTGTCTTCCGGCATGCAGGACCCGGTCCATCACCTCAGAATATAAACAGACACTGGGCCTGTTATTTATACACCCTGACGTGGGGGTCAGTGCTTCATGTTTCAGCCCTACACACAGAAATAGCCCCCCCAGCTCATGTGAACGCTGTCCTCACTGTGAAGAGCCACACTTCCTGCGCCAAGCTCCCAGCGACTCATCGCAGTCCGAACACTTCCTCCTGCAGCGCAGCAACCCCAAACCTCCGGCCCCGGACTCTCTCCTTCCTCACCTTAGAGCTCGTTAAAAAAGAGGATTGCATCTCAGATTAAAGCCAAGCTGCTGCTTAGATCAACTCAAATCATATTTTTAATGCCCTCTCGTAGACAAACTCCCAGACTCTGGCAGGGGGGAGAGCTTACACCATAATCATCCTCTCCATCCAAACCTCTGAGCTTTACCGTCTCCATGACGACCACGTTGGCAAATCAACACTGAGGTTTAATCTCTCAAAAGTCCATTAGCCACTAAAACCGTCAGCTACCAGGCTGCGTCATGCTGTGGGGGGGGGGGATTAGAGCATGCTCTGTAATGGCCTAGTCAAAGTCCTGCTCTAAAGAAAATTCAAACTCTCCCTCCAATTTGAGGCAGCCTGGTTTCCTTCATAAAGATGGTTTAGAGAAACCTTTTATCTATAGAGGAATGAAGCTTGTAGAAAACTTTCCCCAAAAAAATAAAAGTCTAACTGCAGAAAATAGACCTTTTTACAAACAATTGAACACTTTTACATTTTGTTGCATAAACTTCTGAAAACCAAATGTTTTATAACTTATACATTGATGCTGAAAAGGCAAATAAAATGCAGCAAACTTTGATAGCAATGGGACCGAATGTGGAACGTTCCTTTTAAATTGCTTTAAGTTAAAGAAAATATTTGTATCTATCTTTTCCTTCCAAAAAAGTAAAAAAAAAAAAATCAATCCTCTGGACTTTGTTTCCAAGTTTGAAGACGTTTCTCTTCCATCCAGGAAGCTTTTTTCAGATCAAAATGTCAGAAATAAAGTTGAGTTCCAGGTTTTATCCAGCAGCCCAACTAAGCCTGGTTTTAGTTTAGATTTTCTTTTAGAAATTCAAATGACGATGGAATCTGATTAAATCAGACAGGTTTTTTATATCTCTTCTGTTTGCAGAGGTGTCACGTAACGACAAATACCTCGTTACTGTACTTAAGTTCACTTTTTAGGTATCTATACTTTACTCCATTACTTATTTTTCTTCCTACTTCTGACTTCTACTCATTACATTTTCACACAAGTATCTGTATTCCGTAAAAGTTCAAAAAAATCGACTGGACTTGGTTTCCAAGATTTGAAGACGTTTCGCTTCCTCTCCAGGAAGCTAATTCAATTCAAATGTCTGGATCCGCAGTGAGTTTGAGTCTTACAAGGCTTTGTATTGCTTGGAAACATACAAATGGAAACTGATGAGTGGGTTGTTTGATTCCATTGTTAGCCTGTAAAATCTGAAACCTGTCTATGATTCTGAAGGAGTACAAGAACAAGTATCTGTACTTTCTATTCCTTACATTTTTAAAACAAACGTTACTCGTTACTCTTGGCTTCGGTTTAATGTTTCTAAATATTTATTTCCCGTCATGTGCTCCATCCAATGCAGATCATTGGCTCCACCCACATCTAGTGAAAACTAGTGTGATTGGATGAATCATATAACGCAAACACTCATTGGTTAGCTAAAGGAAATCATCAGAAGCCAGCAGGTGTTCTTCAAACTGCTAACGTGAATTGTCTATGCCATGCTACAATGTGGGATTCAGAAAAAGATGTTGAAATGTCTGAAAGGTCGGACACAGGCGAGGGCGTATCGGGAGACGGAGACCAACCAGACCTCCCTCATCCTTGGCCCTATCTCAAAGAATTTTTAGAAATAGTCGAAAAAATGTAGCTTTCAGTTCATATAGTGGCATCTGGCTGTTTTTTTAAATGTTACTTTATACTTTAAGTAGTTTTTGGAGCTCATACTTTTTCACTTTTACTTGAGTAAAGAGGTCAAGGTGATACTTCAAAGTGTTTTTAAACTGCAGTATCTAAACTTCTACTGAAGTAACAGATGTGTGAACGTTTGACACCACTGCCTGTTTGGATGTAAATCAATCCACTAACTGAACAGAAACTAGTAGAGACCATGTGAGGAATCAGAGGTGGAGAGAGGAGTTTATCAGGGTGTCACTAACTAAGCTACTTCCTAGTGAGTGAAGACAGAAAAGCAGGACTTCTTCTGTTTAGGCAAATGTTATTGTTTAAGAATGGTCTGGCTGTTAACCCGGTCAAGGTTGTGAAGGAGAATGAGACCTAATTAGAAATCTGAATTCCCAGTGAAAACTAAATAGTTTTTTCCTTTGCGTCCTGTTTGTTTCCAGCATATCTAGCTTTGAGCCAACAGTGTGGGAGGAAACATAAATTCATACGTAAAGCAAATCCAAGCTTTGATCACCGTGAAGAAAAGAAAAGAAAAGGATATTTTTCTCTTAGAGAAACAGCATTTTATTAACCTCTACTGTGCAGGTTAGATTTTTTTTTTCTGGATTGTTTGATTTTGTAAAACTCTAAATATTCAAACATCTTGTTACTTTATTCCACCCATTATCATCACACAGCTTTGGCGGGTTTGGTAATCAGGGAAGCAGATGAGAGTAAAACATCTGTAATAAGAAGACTGGTAAACAGGATGCAATGGGAGAGAAAATTAAGATTCAAAAGTGTAAAAATGAGCGTTAGGAGTTTATGGTGGAAAATAGTTAAGCATGATTTTTGGTTTGGAATATTTTATCACCACCTTAAAGCACCAAGAACTCCAGTATAAACAGAGCAATGAGGAGGGGTAGGAGGACACACTGGAAAAAATCGAAATCTAGAAGTCATTTTTTCTTAAAATAAGTGAATTTGTCATTGTATTGAGGAGGTAAAAGAGACATTTTGCCAATGGAACAAGACAATTTGCATCTAAAATAAGAAAACACAATTGCATTGTCTTATTTCAAGTGCATGTTATCTAATTATCTTATTTTAAGAATAAAAATACTCATTCCATTGGCAAACTATCTCATTTACCTACTCAAATTAAGGGTAAATACAGTTAATTTAAGACATTTGTACATATTTCTAGATTATTTTTCCAGTGCAGGTAGGAGGACAGTAGGATTTCGGGTTTCAGGTATCAAAAACCTCCAATGCAGCGATAGAGTTGATCTATTCCTGTTATCATCGCAGCTCCAACCCCTTTACAGGAGAACAGAAGACCTCACCTATTCAGCCAGGCCAACAATTCCCTCTAACGCCCCCCCTTTCAGAGACATAGACAGGTATGGGGCATTGCAGGCTAACAAAGAAGCCAAACGACCCCCATTCCAAAGGGGGGGACCCGTTCATCCGTTTCTATTTGCATGTTGGAAATAAAACCTGGATAAAACCTGGATAAAACCTGGAACTAAACGCTATTTCTGACATTTTGAATTGAAAAATCTTCCTGGATGGAAGAGAAACGTCTTCAAACTTGGAAACAAAGTCCAGTAGATTGATTTTAACTTTTTTGTAATATTAGAGATATTACTATTATAAAATAAAAAAGAAAAATTAGAAGATTTGGAGTTAATAATAATATATCTGATAGTTCAATCTTTTATAGTAGTATAAAATATTATTTAGGATTTTATTAACTTCATGCTTGCTGATAATCAGTGATGATCAGTTGGTTTTCTGATAACAGCTAAAACTTCTGCAGCATCAGAGCAGTGGGTGTTTATTCATAATCCATCAGTCATCAGTCGCACTGATTCACTGTATCTGAATTTATTTCCACTTTCATTTACTGACTGCAAGAAAACTACAGAATAAATCAGCTCCTCCATTTAAAATAAAAACACCGAATGAGGGAGACGCCGGCTGAATAGAAATGGCAGAGTGTGTGCTGTATGAATAGTGTACCCTCAGCGAGCTGCAGCACAGAACTGGTATTGTGGCTTTACACATAACAGAATCCAAACAAGCAGAGGAAAGCTGCAGCTCTGCCAATGCAGACAATCCCTTGAAGAGGCCGTCTACTCTGCATCCTGGAGCTCCCACAGCACACAAACTCACCGCTGATCAGGGAGCTGCTCATCAGATCCGGGGGGGGATTTACCATTAGGCAGTTACCTAGGGCCCCATGTTGCTGGGGGCCCCATAAACCTCTGTTTCCATGTATGGTTAATACAACTATTCCTTATTTGTGCACATTAATTATGTTTTTAATAAAAAAAATACTTTCACTAATGAAAGTATTTCACCCCCTTCAGTGTCCACCATCTTGGATCAGTCCATTTGTTGCACATGTTCAGAAAGGTCCAAACAGACAGCAGCAAACCATTTGAAAACAAACCATGCAAAGAGCAGTGTTGCCAACTTAGCGCTTTAGTCGCTATATTTAGCCACTTTTCAGACCCCTCTAGCACTTTGATTTCCAAAAAGCTCCTAGCGCCAAATCTAGAGATTTTTTCTGCTACTGGAGACTTTGGAGACAACATCTAAAAGCAGCGAACTCTGCTCTCCAGAGCGAGTAGATTGGTAACCCCGCCTCCTGCTCTCCTCTATCTTGTCTGCTGTCATGATTCATGCAGCTATTATTTCATCCAAATGAAAAATGGAGAACAGATAAGCAGATCATGGCTTGTCTACAGTGAAAAGAAGGACTGGGTTATTTACTTTGGCCTTTTTGGAAACACAGGAAGGAGCAATCAGCTAAGTGAGCTTAGTGCTTGGAAAAAATCTTTCATTCCTTTAGAGACAGCATGAAAAGTCAGCTGAGTACAAAACATAGAGAGGAAAACAAGAAGAAAAGGGACAAGAAGAGAGGGACACAACCTAGAACAGATAATGGATGTCTATTCTATTAACCTTTCTCTATCTGGAGAATGGGTCTGTTTTATGTGTTGTCTTCTCTATTCAGAGGGGCCCCGCCTGACTTTTCCTAGGGCCCCAAATTTCCTAAATCCGCCCCCAGATATTAAAAAAGAAACATCATCCCTGTTCAGACTGAGAGGTTGATGTTTAATTTGCTGTAACGTAACGTTCTTCTCATTCAAAGCTTGATGGATCAGCCTTTAGTCAAAGACCAGGA